GTGGAGTGGAACAGTTAGTACTTTCATGTAATCACACTCTCTGCAATCTGGACTTCTAGATTCCACTCTAGGAGCCCAGCACCTACTAGGTGTGAGCAGGGTGCCAAGAACAGGTGTAATCTGTTCTAACGACAACTATCAAACAATTCAGCCAGACTTTGATATCTACATTCTAGATAGCCAAAGCTAAGCAAGCTAGATATGTACTCCTACCCAAAAACACCCCTCAAACCTCCCCCACCCAGGACATGAGTCTGACTTTTCATTCCTTCTACAGAAGTTAGGTGTATGAATCAGGATCAACAAGTTGTGTCTCCTGATAATAGATACTCATTTTCGGGAGGGGAGGAGGAAAACCAACCACACCCCCACACCCCCCCAAAAAAACCCCCAACCAAACCAAAAAAACAAAACAAAAGCAAAAAAAAAAAATCCCACACACACCTAAAAGAACACACAAACTTGTATAAGCTTGCTCTTTTCTTTTGATGTGTGGCCAGATGTAGCCTTACCCATGTAGTTGTTAGTTAACCTAGTGGTTAGAGCACTCTCAGAAAGCAGGAGAAATAAATCCAGGTCTAAGTATCTTACCTCCCAGCAGATTATCCCAGGAGATTCCTCTACCTTCCAGAATTTTGGTTTAAGAGGTCTAGACTCAATAGGACTAACAGCAACTCTCTCCCTCACCCCCAAGAATTTCAACAAAGACAGGGTAATAAGGACATGCCTGTTATCTCAACTATTTTACACATAGCCACATGTGCCACAAAGAACAATCAGTAGACTAGAAATTAAGTTTTAACATTCCAGTCCTGTAAGAGGAAGTATTAACTTTAATATCTTTAAAAAAACAAAAGTTCAAATCAAGACAAAAAGGCTACAAAAAAAGAGGTCTAATGCAACAGAAATACAATTTCAAAGATACTTTCAAGTAAGAAAGAAAATCTAATACACTACTGCAAGAGAAAGACTACTACATTAGCATCCATTAAAATCTAATTCTAAGAGAAATCTGAGAAAAAACAAGATCCTTGCAAGCATATTTGAGCTCTATCCACAGATCATATTTGGATTAACATTGGAACCGAAACCAGAAAGTTAGACATGGTGTGAAGTTGCTGAAAAAGATGAGGAAATTTCCATTTTGATCCAAGGAAGAAAAAAAAAAAAAGCACAGAGAGTTGCTTTGAATAACCTCAGAAGTTTCCTTTTGGAACAGATAAAATATAATCTCGGAAAATAACCCATGGCAGACCGATAGACAGAGGGAAGGAAAGGGAGGGGCATCAGGAGGTCAGCTAGGACCATTATGGAGAACTGACTTTTATATTATTGCTATATATGATCCAGGACACTGCTTGCGTTTTTTTTTTTTAAAGCTTTTTTTTTTCCTCCCTATGCATTCTTTTCAATTAGTCATTTGATAAGGCAAGCTTGAATTATTTGTATGCCTAAGCTTTGCTGTATTAAGAATGGTCTGAAAGCAACTTGAAGGGCAGGGCGCACTCTGTCAGGGAGAACTGTCTTAAAATATGCACATAGTGCTGTATACACTGAGAGCTTAACACTCAAAATGTGATTTGGTGATTTTCACAACTCTTGGTGCTTTTCCAACTTGCAAATATCAGTTCAAATGCTAACAATGACAACTGCCTGACTGAAGAGTACCTCTCCCATACATGCTAGAACAATGTATGATCAGCCCTCGTTAACCATAAGAGGAAAAATAGTTTTGTGTTTGTACAATATATCCCATATATTTTACAGTGACCTGTATCCTGATCTTGTCTATAACCTATGGGCTTTGGCATCTCTCCTGAGAAAAAAAATAGGGATTTGAACACTTTCAGGTGATCTTGGACTTGCTGAATTACCTAAATCAAGTTATTCTGCAAAACATAGTTCTTTTACCCTATTTATGAGTGGATGGTATTATACTTTGCAGAGAACTCAGTGTCTATGACAGACATGCTGGGAATTCACACCAAAGAATAAATTCAGTATCATGTCCCAATGCTCAGATGAAAACATTTCAGCACAAACTTTGATTCCTAAGTTTAGACACTGCAAGAGGATTGTGGTATACATGCTGCATACTTGAGACTGCTTTCCTGGCCTTGTTTAGAGCTTTATTTGAAACATGCAGGTCTGTAGGTTTGCTTGTTCCTGGAAGGTGTTCCTGGACCTTCTATGGAGTCCAGCTGTAACATACCAGTGAACTTTGTCCTTTAAAGTGCCTAGATGGTACTGAATAGTGTATTTCCCATTGCAAAAAGTGCTTAGTCTTCGGTCAAGAAACCCCAAAGAAGTAGCAAGAAAAACTAGCAAAAGGGATGCTGTTTTTAGTTTCATACCACACAGTACGAAGTTCACAAAATAATAGATGTGAATCTAGAAGTTCAAGGTTCACCTTGGTATTTATGACAAAAGTACCTAACCAACACCTCACTAAGGCACAAATCTTGTTTGTTGGATATCTCAGATCACTTCTGAAGTATTTACCAACATATTTATATAGTTTGAAATGAGACCTGTAATTCCAGTACAAAGTCTTGTACTACATAACCAGATCGCCTTACAATGCAATGAAAAATTTAATGGCAACAGCTCACTTTTTTTAGCACTAAGCTGTTAACACATACAGTAGAAAGCATTCATATCCTGGACTGGTTTGGTTAACACAAACATCTTCATTGCCAGTTTCTGCTAATCAGTTTAAATCCTGCTCTCCCACCCCCTCCATTCTGATTATGAGGGGCAAAACCCAAGACAACCAAGAGTCCCATCCCAACTATTCAAGGCAGAGGGGAAAAAATAAAAAAAAGAATAAATTCAGTCAAAACAATGTTTAGTTCCAACCTCTAAAACAGAGCAGTAATTACAGTCTGAAGTAGTAAAATGAGGATGCAGAATAGAACAGAAGGACTAACTCTTTAGAAACTCAGCATTGAGACTGCATGAGGCAGTAGCATAGTGTTAAATATTTATCAAGTACATAACTTGTTCAATATTCCTTCAGAGAAAGCTCTAAATATTTGAATTCACCATTCTGGACCCCTGACTTATCAAGTTTATCCACAATAATTTAATGCAGAGCGATAGGTGCAAATAATCAGGGGGGCGAGGGAGTGGAAGGATTGAGGAAAAAAGATATTAGTAACTCCTAATATCCAGGTACCACGTCCATGTTTCCTAGGGAACACCACTCTGATGATTCTACTGTGGTAATGAAAAAAGCTGAAAACATTATTCTCCAGAACTGAACAACAGTTTGGTTATATCAGACGACTCTCATTACTTTTGCAGGATAGGGTAGGAAGAATTTCTCCTATCACCAGAGAAAAAACAAATTCTTGAAGTTTTTTTCATTACTTCATCCCAGAGTTGAGCTTAACTAGGACCAATTTGGTTAGGGCTTTTTGTCCAGAGCTTGGTGGGGGAGAAAATGGAAAGCAAATGCTTCCACAGTGTAGTTAAAGAACCTCATCAGGTATCCCCCCAGAGTCCCAAATTACTTGAAGGGAAGTTAGAATAGCAAGTTCTTCTTCATATGAGGAAGCATTATTTCAGGCTTGAAACATTAATAGAAGAGTTCGTACTGGAGAGACAATTTCGTTGAGTATGAGTTGATGGTAGTTTTTACACAGAACTGACATTTCATGTTACTATTAACAAGGACCATTCAGACCATCATATGGAACACCTGAGAGTTAAGTGTCAATGACTGAGCAACAAAGACAAGCTATACTCCTGTAAGATCCTTAATGCCTAATATTACTGTAACTGCCTACACCTGTACTAAAAAAAAACCCAAAGATCCTTGAGTTGTATTCCCCGTGCTTCCGAAACTGTCTACTTTTTCCTCCTTTTAATTTAGCACTTACTAAATACAACACCTACCCTACAACTTGAAAGGTACGTGGCATATAGGCCCATCTCTGGCAATTACAGCTGAGAAAGCACTGAAGTTTTTATTCTCAGACTGGCAAATTAAGAAACATATAGATATAACAGCTGAAGGAAAGTAACTTAAAGAAAACTGTTACAGATACTTTAATACCACTGGGTATTTAAACTACAGCACACAAGATCAGCTTAGACAGCTCTTAACATAAGAATCCAACAGAATCCTTTTTTGTACAATATTCACCTAAATATCTATTGCACATACAAATCCTACATGCGCTGTTTACAAACTGAACTGTGACTTAATCTGAACAAAGAAGTCTTCAGAAGTATACAGAAGTTGTTTGGCCTTCACTGCTCAACAGGTCAATCCTATTCATACCCTTTTTATTTCCGCTTACCTCAGGGTAGTGTTTATAACTTCTTCATAGCCAAGCCTAAACTATGCTCTTTTTAGCTGCGCTCTGTAATCCCTCTTTATGGTTCCTGTATCCACCACCGCAATGTATTCCACACTTTACTCGCTTCCATCAGAGCTTTAAATACTGTACCTGGATGGTCCTTAGCTTATTTACAGTTGTGATGGTCCTGCAGAATATACCAATTTTAGCTCTTATACTTGCCTTTAGCTTAGGGACAACACGTAGGAAATTGCGTCTATGCTATGCTTATTAACTTTCCCTCTGAAATGGCACAAGAGACAACAAGATAAATTGATTGGAGTGTGCTTGCTCTGAAAAAGACAGGAAGCTATTACATGCAGCAGTAGACTGTAGTGAAAGTCATGTATTCATCAATTCTAGAGAGTACTCATATAACAACTGTGAACCACAGAGTGCAAGTGTTAGCCAAACTTACTTTTCATCACTGTATAAACTAGTTTACATACTTAATGCAAGTATCTGGAAGAAAGACTTGTCTACCTACCTTTGGAAAGTTGTTTAAGTTTGACATAATTCTTCCTTTACAGGTAAGTGTGTGTGTGTTTTCTGTTGGGCTTTTCTTCCCCCCCGCCCCCCTGCCCCGCCTAAATGAAAAATAGACACGACAACACAGCAAGGTATTAACATCTTAAAAATTTTTAAGGCACATTCCAACAAAATAAACTTTTATTGAATGCAGTATTAGGCATTCTATTTTGTTTAAGGGAACAGTGCTTCCCCCCCAAAGAGATTCCCTTTGACAATTTCTAAAAGCTGTATTTCAGTTACAGAAATATTTCTCATGTCAAGAAACACCAAACTTCAGTCTAAATTTTTCTTAAATTATGAAGTGCAACTAAGTCCTTCCAAATGATAGTTTTCAGCAGGCACTAGAATGAGAAACCTGCAAATTGTTTACAATTGCTGGGCACAATGTTATGTTAATTCAAATTTTATACTAACCCATCTAGAGTGTTGTTCTTGAAGAATTCTATAAAAAGTGGCATTTAAGAATAAAGAAATGCAGCTTAAAGAGCAGTTTATCACCATTAAAAAAAAAAATCTTAATGGCAACCTGCACATTTAATACCATTTCCACAGTATGTCAGCTAGCAGAGGCTTAGTCCAATAATTTAAAACTTTAGATAGGAATGTCTTTTGGTTCTAAATGCAGATCATAAGTCATCATGTCCAGTACGTGAAGGCTCAGTTGTTTCACTCTCTACTTCCTCTCCTGTGAAATTAAGTATCATAATTAGAATACAAATGTATTATTAATTACACCATATAATTTTTGGTATTAGGAATTTTTTTAAAAGAGAAACCCAAATCAACATATTTATCAAGACCAGAGAAGCAATAAAGCCATATAGCAGAGCTACTTGCACCATCCTCCTAGTCCACGCTTGTAATTTTTCTTTTTTTTTTACTAGACGCAAACAAAACATTCAAATAAACTGGTATGATATTGTAGTGGAAGAAAAAAGCAGCACAGCTATTTCTATTCTAAGCTTTTGTTTTCAGCTATTCACAGTGAACTTTCTCCTTTCCACATGACCTGTCAGAAGAAATTCTGGTATTTGAAAACAAAAAGCAAGTATTACTCAGAATTATTTTCTATAGTGCAAACTGCTCAGTTCAGATGTTAAAGCAGCCTTTAAAAAAGCAGAGCAATTTTATTATATTGGCAGAAGCATTAATCTAAGAAAAAAGCTAAGCCAATTTGTCAACTTTTCACTTTGCTTTTATTCTCATAAAATGTCAGGCCACATTAAAAAACATAGTAACTGATATCCTGAGCATCTGCACAGGAAAAGCGCATAACTGATTTTAAAGGGCTAATAACTGTGAGTACTGGGTGTATAAGGTCTGAAATGAATGGCCTTGAGTAGCAATACTACATAGATCTTTACAACTTATTAGTACAAGATGAAAAAGCAGTCGGGGAGGGGCAGGGGGGAACAAAAAAAAACACCAAACAAGCTAAGAAGTAGAAAGAAAATAAAGGTATGAAATTGAGTGTCTCTCATCTGTTCTCCTACAACCCTTATTGCAAAATCATCCTATCTTTCACTTTGGAATTGTAAAAAAAGCATAGACAGAGTAATGAAACACTAGTGAACGTAATTCTGTCCATAATGTGTCATACATCCTAGAGCAAATTACACTTGAATTTCCTGACTGAAGGTACAGTTTAAGTCAAAGTAAACAGTTCCCTACTACTGAAAGATGGATGTCTTCTCTGTATTCACCTTCACACCAGCTCTGGCACTTTTGTGATGACAAAATAAACAAATTCAGCTCGCTCATCCAGCAAAAAGAATTCTGCTTGATTTTCTGAGATTTCAGTGAGTTGAAGCAGCTTGCATGTGATCAGATAAACCCTTAAGTCATTATAATTAATGGTAATGGAAAAAAAGTGGGGAGGAGGAAGACCTCCTTTTTACGATAGCAGTAATTTGCTAGTTCACTTTATGTAATGAAGCCAGACACTTAAGTGACTTACAAACACAACCTTGAGTTAAGCAAAAAAAAATCAACACAAGAACAGCATGTTTAAAAAAAATCCACTGTCTTTAAGGAAGAAAAAATGCATGCCAGAATACGGCCTACACCACAAACTACTTGACACAGACCACAGCTGTAGGAAGGTAAGGAGTTATACAGAAGAGTTTACAAGCGACTAGACCCTTAGACAGAAATACACCTCCAAGTTGTCAATATAGCATATTTTTAAAAAATCTGTCATTGAAAAGCCACTTGCCTGTTTTTACAGTTTGAACACATGTTCCATCCTTATCCTCAAAGCCTTCTGAACATACACACTTGTAACTACCTGACGTATTAACACAGTCTTGATTCTCTTTTACGCAGACCTTTTCAGGAAGTTTACATTCATCTATATCTAGAGAGAGGACAGGGAAAGAAAGAGTCCATTGCTGTTATTTTGTTATAAAACTTACTTGTGTTTAGTCATAGAAACAAAATTCTATTCAAATATAAAAAACACTGAGCAACAGAATGCTGCTGCAACAGATTTAACTTCTGTTAAAATAACCTGTTACGGTTCTTCATGATTTAGACTGTGTTTCAAATTTATTCATATAGTTCTGGTTTTTTTATGCCTTGCAAGCCCCAATGTGGGGAAATGAATTAACCAACAGCACTCGTCTTAATCTACTGAAGATTTCCCATAGTCGTTTTCTACTGATGCCATCAAAATACAACTAAAGGGAAGTGAGCCTGTAAATACTACATCATTATAGTTAACAGCTACTTAATATCGTGCATACCTTCTGCTCTTCCCCACAGAGAAACTCTAATTTCACTCCTTCTACTACCATTTCACGTTACAATTCACTATGAATTAATATCATTTGAAGTTGGACATTAATTGGATTAACAGAAAGACAACAGAATCCACATTGCGTTCCTGCCTTTCTGTTACAAAACGAATACAGATGCATACTTCTAATGAAGTGGTAGATAACTGACAAGAGACTCATATATTTGTTTCCTGAACCCGCTATAAAATACTTTGTTCCTTTTGTAGGAGTATTTCACCTTTAAGCCTTGTCATGCATATTAGCTCAATAATACAAAGGAAGTTATAAAGAAAGTCTTTGCTGCTAATACCAGAACGACTGGGTTCATTCTGATAGGCTTGAAAACTGAAGCAAACAAACACAAACATACTTAACAGCTCCTCAGTGTGGCTAACCAAGGGTGAGCTAACTGGTGTTCTATCATGTACTGCTAAATCCACCAACCTGTACACTTTTCATCTTCCTTCATGTATCCAGATGCACAGGTCTTACACTTGTCAGAACCTTCCCCTGTGCAACCTATGCAGCTGGCATCACATGCTGAAGAAAATATTTTTAAAATAAAAATTAATATATCTGAGGTTTAAAGTACCACCCTTAAAGTCAGTCAGCTTACCCACACAAGAAATCATAGAATCATAGAATGGTTTGGGTTGGAAGGGACCTTAAAGATTATCTAGTTCCAACCCCCCTGCCATGGGCAGGGACACCTTTACTACACCAGGTTGCTCAAAGCTCCACCCAACCTGGCCTTGAACACTTCCAGGGATGGGGCATGCACAACTTCTCTGGGCTACCTGTTTCAGTGTCTTACCACCCTCACAGTGAAGAATTTCTTCCTAATATTTAATCTAAGTCTACCCTCTTTCAGTTTAAAACAATTACCCCTCATCCTATCACTATACTCCCTGATAAAGAGTCCCTCCCCATCTCTCCTGTAGGCCCCCTTTAAGTACTGGAAGGCTGCTATAAGGTCTCCCCCACACCTTCTCTTCTCTAGGCTAAACAACCCCAGCTCTCTCAGCCTGTCCTCACAGGAGGAGTGTTCCATCCCCCTGATCATTTTTGTGGCCCTCCTCTGGACCCAATCCAACAGGTCCATGTCCTTCTTATGCTGGCGGCCCCAAAGCTGAACACAGTACTCCAGGTGGGGTCTCACAAGAGCAGAGTAGAAATAACCAGAAACCTCTTGCTTTCCTCATACGATAGGTCTAAAGCCTCATCCTCCCCATGCCCAGTCAGGACCGGACCACACTGTACTAAATACCTGGTATCACGCCCTTTCTAGCATTACCTCTAGCATTAGAGTAGGATTCCAGACAATAAAGTACAACAGCAGATTAAAAAGAAACCTTTGCATGAGAAAGATCCATCTGCGTTCAAACAATACTGGTGATCTTTGCAAGGAGAAGCAGCACACTCATCTAAATCTGAAAGATAAAAAGTGACAAGTTACCTAAACTAGTAGTCATGATTAAATAGCCAGATTAATACTTGACTGCTATGCTTTGAGGTCTTGTAAGAACTGGCCCACAAAAGTATAAACTGACTGCATTGAGAGTAATTGTTACAATGAGTTCAGGATCAGACATGCAACGTGCTAGACATAAAAGTAACATGGTAACATATACTGTTTCGTTCAGCTTAAACTTACATTAACAAATCAAAACTGATCCTCAGAAGATGTTTTGTGATGACAATAACAGACTTAGACATTCAAGAGCTCAAATTAAATAAAACTTCCAGAATACCTGCCATTCTTGTCATTTTCAAGCCAGTGTTTTGCATGCATTTATGCTTTTCATGCAAATAGCACAACAAATAAGCAGACAGACTACTCTTCTGGAATACTGTTCATTTCTCTACTCCTGTATTACCAAGATATGGAACTTTTTAAGGTATTAAAAAAAAAAAAGACACAAATGCACACACATACACCACTTAGTTTTCTATTCAAAGTAAATTGGAGAAAGTCAAGTTATGGTTAGGATCAGTCAAGCTGAAAACCCGTTGTACCTGGGAAGTTAAAACATGCTAGTCTTGTGATTTCAAGGAAAGGGCACAACAGTACTCACAACTAAAAAATTCAGACAGAGAAAGGCTATTTCAGTCCCCCTGCTGTCTATCTCACCCTGTTGCTACAGACATCATTCCTACTGATTACTCAATTAATTTATTCTTAATCAGTTGTAATGATTATTTGGAAAAAAACAGCTGTACAGAAGACAATACTGGAGCATCTTAAAAACACTCTTGGAGCGTTCAACAGTTGCCTAAGCAGGTATTGCAGGAGCTGTAATTCAAATCCTAGTTCTCATTAGCACTTTTAAAAAGCAGCAGTGTTCACATAATTTCGAAGATACTGTTTCCAGACATTATGTTAAGGGTCTTTAACTGGTCAAATTCAACCAGTTAAACAGCATGTTACTCTCCCCCTAGTGCATTCCTACACTGGGAGTATTTTTAGTATTTGGGTTTTTCCTTAAGTGTTTCATACGTATCTCCTCATAAACCAAGAGAGATGCTAAGAAATAGGCAAGAGATTAATGGAAGCACTGAGCTTGATGTCTCCCGGTATTTCTCCCCAACAATAGGAAAAGTTAGTATGCCTGGCTTTTAGTGAAATGTTCGAACTCTGTTAGGGTTGAGCATTTATAAACATACAGTAATGTGAAGACAATTGTGCAATTACTACATAATATGTAGATAAGCTGACAGGAATCTTCCAGTAGTTGACAAAATAGTTTAAAACAAGAGCAGGGCGCTGTTTAGCTTTCAAATAAACACAAAAACCCTGTCTTAAAAGGAAGGCCCCACTTGCTGCACTCTGTATTTCACTAAACTAAAAAGATACACAGTGAACAGTTTGATAAAGACAACTATAATCACCAGGTGATCAGTGGGGAGGAAATACTGCTTTCCTGCAACATGAAACAAGTTAGGAAGAGAGAGACTACAAACTACAGAAATCTAAACTGACAGAACACTTCCATAAAATACAATAAAACTCGATGTGATGTCATCTATTCTCACTAGCCAACGTTGCTACAAAACCAAAGTCTACCAAGCATGACTCACCCACACAAGCTGCTTCTTCATTTTTAATCCAGCCTTCTTTACAGTCTTGGCAGTCCTTGTTACTTGAACCAGTACAAGTTTTACAGGCAGCATGGCAGGCTGAGATAAGAGAAAACTACAATCTGAGCTTTGTTCAGAGATTCCAAGACAAGTTTGGACACACAAATTCTCTAAGAAAACCTTATTTAGGATTCACTGGAAGCCATCATATTTTAGTAGCTCGATCTTCCCATTCGCAAGATTAAATCTTGACTTTAAGGAGATACCATTTACAAAAATGCAGCTCTATCTTACAAAAAATAAAACAAAACAAAAACCCAGGAAGCCAAACCTGCCAATTACAGTCATTTGCACCACTTAACACAGTGCCATGAAATTCTAGTGACTAGAAGTGGCAGGTCCAATTTCCAAAATATTTGGGAAGAGGAGATCAAGAAGGTAAACTTTGCTCAGCCACTCAGGGTTAGGACAACAGTTTAAACTCTAGACTCAGCACTCCCACCTAAGGAATCCTCAGACTACTTAATTTGCAACTAGCTATGAGAGCAGTGTGTGAAGTGATACTAGTCTGAAGAACTTCCCAAGGAAACATACTAGAAACCCAGTTGTATACGCATATTATATATATTTTATATATATACTACATGCGTATATAAGACACAATATATAACATATGCATGTTATATATAGTAATACAAAACAAATCATACAGAAGAATTACTACACAGCCAGATAAAAAAACAACACAGATCGTGTTGAAAAACAATCTTATTAGACCCCATGGTCAGGATTTAGTTGCTGCAGAATCTCCTTAAGATGTAAAAACAGATGAAAATCTGACCAACTGAAAAAGTTTATTCCTACGACCTGACTTTGTTTCAAAATTAAGCCTAGACATACTTAACTGGAATCTATGTAGTCTACAGAACAGATCAGCTGTTTCCATGCCCATTTACTCCAGTTAAGCTTATCTGAGACATGAGGAAAACCTAGCTTTCAGAGTAGTCCACTATGCAGCAATTTCAGCTCAAGATTTTCATACAGTACTTGGGGGGGCAGGGGGCAAAGCTTGCTCTTCCCTCCCGCCTCCCTCATGACATAGATGAATTCTGCTTCTTAATTTAAAGGGGGGGGGGGGGGGGGGGA